GATCTAGTCTATTGATAAAAGTTTTATGATCAATAATGTCAAACACAGTACTGAAGTCGATGAGCAATAAAACTGCACACACCAGGAGACTGTTTGTAACCCTAATGAGAGCAGTTTGGGTACTGTGTTGTTTGTGAAATCCAGACTTTAACTTAACAGAAATGTTTTTGTCTAACACACCTAATGTTAGTTAGAGTGCTACCTTATCTAGAACTTTAGCAATTTATGAAAAATGACTTTTTGGTCCCAGCTTCTCCAGTGTGAATATTGTCTGCTGTTTTCTCTTTCATATCATTGTAAATTAAATATTTTTTAGTTTCAGACTGTTGGTCGAACAAAACAAGACATTTGACAACATCATCTTGGACTGTGGAAAAATTTTTCATTATTGTTTTTTACAGATTAAAAAAATGATTTAAATCAATAAAGAAATAATTGTTGGAATGATACAAAATATATTCCCTTGTCTGGAATGTATCTTCAAATATAAATATTACATTGACAATCACACACACACACACACGTCACCATGCCTCAGAAATCTTTCACATCAACCACCAGACGGCTTTGCAGTATATTTTCCACCAAACCAACAGCAACAATACATTTAATCCATGGAAATATCAACTGGAATCATCACACACTCACACACAAACACAACAGAGGCCCATTCCTGATGCAATTTGTTCAGTCATGAGTTAGTGGGGAGGAGACAGACAGAGATAAAGTCTGACAAGGTGTGTGTGCGTGTGAGAGAGAGAGAGAGAGATAGGGTGTTTGTATCAGCTCAGCTTCAGACACTGTCTGTTACACTGTGGGCATTTGCATAACAGTGAGGTCACCATCAGAGAGTGATTGGAATGAGAATTGTCTTCCTTTTTCATCCCTCCCTCCATGCACATATGTGCATACATACACATGCACACACATAAAAGAAGAACAAATACACTGCGCACATGTACACACACAGATACACAGGGTGCAGAGCAGGAGACAATAGGTGATGATCAGGGAGTGGCTAAGGGAATATATCTCTCAAATAGGTTCTGTCATCTTTTGCTCCCCAACCTGAATAAGTCCAGAGAGGGGATACGGCTTTTTCAAAGGAGTCCTCTATACAATATGCACACAGGAGTACGGAAAACTCCCCCAGGTCTCTGATTAGGAAAACAGCTCAGAGCCACAACTTAACACTATAAAGTGGATTCCTCTCTATCATCTGCACTCATCTTAGTGGAGTAAATAGCTTCCTGTGGGAATTCATTAGATTGCTTTCACTTCCACCTGAAAGAGCCCTCTCTTTCAGATCACATTAAGAAAAGGCAGAAGAGAATGCTTATGTTCTATTGAAATCCAACCTCTTTGAATTTGTTCTGTATGTAAGCATTTAGATGCACCCAAGGTTGGTCCAGTCTTTCCTCAACTGCTCTTTTCTTTCCATTTTTCTGTCCTATTTGGCACCGTTATTTCTAAGTGCCAATTCAGGGACAGCCATTCACCATGACACCAGCTTTGGCAAGGCTGATGTCACACTCCAGTATCAATAGCTTCTCTATGTCTCTTTGGGAAGTGCTTGAGAGAGAGAGAGCAATCCCAAGCTTTTTCATCATGTTATCAGCCACAATCTGGCTGTTTCCAGTATAAACATACTGTTTTTTTGTGTGTTACAGCTGTTTCCCAAAATAAAAAAATAAAACGGTTTAAGCGGTGTGTGTACCCGTGTGAATGTGTGTGCATGTATATATGCATGCAGTGTGTTGCACTGTCACAGCAAAAGAACAAGGGTCTTTTGGCACGAGCAGTACAGGCCTTGTGTGATGGTTTAACACTGACAATAAAAGTTTAATGGCATCATCTGTTAGTTACAGCATGTAATGTATAGGCCGTATGGAGGGACCATCGATCTTCCCTTCTACAGCTGCTTATCACCAAGATGCTTCAGCCGAACTCTCAGTGGAAACTCCTGACTGCAGAGTAAAGAATGAATATCTACAGAGTAAAGAATGAATATAAACAATAACATTTTTCATTCCCCTGAGCTCCTATTCCCTCATGTTTATCTGTGCCTTGCCACACAACACTGTACAAACATTTTTTTCCACAGGAGTTGCTTACGCTTTAGCTGCTGCGTCTATGCCACCTGACACCCAGTGGACCGGTGCTGAGCAAGTCGTACCCCTTGATCCCTGCAGGTCCTGGTCTATGCATTATTCACTGCACTGACCATCCTCTGAATTAAAGATACAAGCTTTGACTGTTCAATTTTTTACAGGACAAAATGTCCTTACATGCACAGAGTAGCACACTTCTAAATTAAGCTCTGTCTCTCAGAGTATGAGTGAAGGCGTTCAAATGTGTGTGTGACTGCGTGTGTGTGTCAATGTCCATGGGTGTGTGTGAGTAAGAGCAGCAGGTATAAAGGTATAAATCTGTATGAGTGCAAATGTGTCTCTGTGTATGTGGGGGTGAGTGTGTAGTGCTTTCACTCAGCATGTGATCTGGTGAAGCCCCGATGCACCAGCTAGTCCTTTGTTCCTCGTTGTTCGCCCTTTGATGATCCAGTGCATGGGCTTCAGGGAGGGCCCTCATCTTCCAGCACGGTACTGATGGACTGTCTTGAAGTCTTTCAGGGACATATCTTTTCACTGTTCTGCAAAAAACCAACAGTGCTGAGCAGTCTGCATGCATCTGAATGCCAGCAGAACCAATTAGCTGGGTATGTTGTGAGATTACATTGACAAAGACGCGCTCACAACTTGCTCCCAAATTCTCTGCTTTGAAGTGAAGCATGGCTGTTTGACGGGCAAATAGCGGCTGATGTGGGTGTCTACCGGGGAACGGCTGTTTTTAGGCTTTTCTGCAAGTCTCCTGTGGGTCTCCGCAGTGTTTCTGTTTTTTGGTTTGTGCAAAGATCATGTGTTTGCATAGATGGTAGCCCACACTTGCTCTTGACTCTTCTACTGTTTCAGGGAAGCTCAACACCTTATAGAGGCACTTGTGATTTTACAAAAAAGGTTAGCTCATCATCATGGAGAGTACTATTCTGCAAAAAAAACAGCTATGTCTTTTTTTGTCCTAGATGGGAGCTGTCTAAATCCTGAGAAAAAGCCCAACCCAAGATAACCTGAATGGCATCATCAGGGTTATATTATTTGTTTGAGACTTCAAATTGTTGACAGAAAGCTAGTGTTACATACTGAAGGTGTGGGGTTGATAGATGATAATAATAATTATTACCAAGCAGGAAAGGTCTAATGAAGGACATTCTTTTGTTGCATTATGGGAATTGTACAACAAGTCCTCTAAATTAAACGGGCCCTTTAAGCCCTCTAGAGCGACACAGTGTTTTGTGATTTGACGCCCTAATCAGCAGGTCAGCATAATTTGTCTGCACCTACTTTTGGAAAATAAATCAGTTTTTAAAAGTGTATTTAGGTTTGGGCACAAAAATCTTGGTTAGATTTAGAGAAAGATCATGGTTTGGGTTCAAATAAGTTTACTTTGTTATGGTTAGGCGAACATTGTGGATTGTAGAGAAATGGGAACGTTTTGGGTCAAGGAGTGCAAGTCTCTTACAGCTTAAAAAAAACACAAAAAGCTGCATAGCATTGCTTATCTATGTTGTAAACTTGCTGGCTGACTTATTTGCCGTATTCATGAGTGCACGCAGGTTTGTTTATGTTAGTCTTAGATGGGAGCTCACTTGTGATTAAGTTTGTTTGCATAGAGAAGTGGTGGTGTATGCAAGACAACTGGTTGTGTCTGCAAGTTGGCAACCTGAAAAAATAAAATGACAAGCTACACATCCAGCAGTTTTCATTGCTGCCAAGTTACAATAAAAGGAGCCATTATAGAGGGATTCTAAGGGGACTACTTTCTGTGTTTACTTTCAGTCAGACTTTGTATTTCAGAAGATCTCGGTTAAATTGAAGTTTTTTTGGAAAACTAGGAGGCTTATTGCCCTCATGAACATTGTTATTACTACAGCCTGCATTCCCCAAATCTCTACAATGGAGGCGTTGAGTGAGATTCTATCTTTTATCACAACAAAAATATGAGGAATACTCCCAAATTGAAAAATGCCATAAGTTCACTTTAAGCACTACCACAAAAGGCAGACACAATTTTTATTCTGAAAGTGACTTTGTCTTTTTTGTGTGGCTCAGTTTTATCACTAATACGAAAAAGTTTATCTGTTAGTTCATATTTGATTTTTTTGATCACTTCCTCTATTATTGTTCTTTATATTTGTGTATCCTATATGGTTATAACTTATCATTTTTTGGAATGTACTTATAATCAACCCACCCTCCCTTGTTATTCTTAGGTTGATGTAGACAGTATCATCTTTCAAAATGGGGAAACTGACTGAACAGTTTAATTTTGACCTTATATTTACATCATAGCTCCCTTTTTTTGACTGCTTGTGATCTTTGTGATCTATGTAGGTAATTATCTAATGACACACACCTGAGTTATCTTGATGCCTCTGTACCTGATTAAAAACCAGACCAGTGCCTAAAAGGCTGTGCTTTTTCTATGCATCCTACAGTTTTTGGGGCTTTTTTTTTTTTTTGGACTCAGCACTGGATAGAAAAGATGTGCATGGATTTTACCCAAAGAATGCACAGTTTTATCACTGGCTACAGTTGCAGTAATTGTCACCAAAACACACACTTACAAACAACAAAATTCAACTCATGTTGTATGGGGCAAAGTGTATGGGAGCACAGAAACTTTAAAGTGACATTGGTGTTATAGTTGGGAGTTAATAGAAGAAGAAAAAAATCCCAAGTAACATTTCCTTTTGTAGCCTGTGGTTGCTATAATGATAAAATGGGGCGTGAGAGTGTGTGCTGCCTGTTTGCTGCAGAGAGAGAGAGAGAGGAGAGAGAGAGGGAGAGAGAGAGAGAGAGAGAGAGAGAGATTTTGTCTGTATCCAGTAGCAGCTGGTGTCGGGGCGTAATGACCTTTTGTCTCCCGGCGGTCAGGTACGGAGAGGGGGGCGGAGATTCATAAGGAGCCGCTTCATATCGGACTGGTCCCGGCGTCCCGCACAACAAATGGCCGTGAACCGAGAGAGAGGCAGAGTGTGATCCAGGTTTTTCTTTTCTCTCTCAGTGCGACTACAGTGAGAGCTGCCTCCATGCTCACATAGTATGTTAGAAAGGGCAAGACGCGCTCTTCATCCTCACACTCTGTACATTTGATCCATCTGGCAAAAGAATGGGAGAGTCCTGTTGACACCACGGAGAGATACACGCTGAGACCGACTATGGCTGTGGACGGTAAGAGCGCTTACTATTCCTTTCACTATAACAAGCCCCACAGTGTTCACGCAGGGACTTAATGTGGCACTCAATAATGAGTTCACACTGACCTTACAGTACTTTGAGATTTTTTTTTTCATCTCTCATCAGACTGCAGCAGTATATTCGTACATTATTTCCATAGGGACATGTGCCTCTTAAAAATGTAATAATACAGTTGTTGTAAAAAACTGACAATCCATACAAGACGGATTATGGATCATCTAAAGCGTTACTGTAAGCTCCAGGAAATGAAGCTTAATAGAGACTATGCTGTATTTGTATTTTTGATTTTGGAATCACCCACTGGATCTTCATGATCCTGGCTGAGATAAAAGTTGTTTCTGTCAGGTTTTTTAGATACTGTCAATGTGATTCCACTGTTTTCTGTCAGGTTGACTTGAATCTGACATAATCCTCCCTTGTGAGTGACCCAGGCACTCACAAAGTGAAGCACTGATGCAATCAATGTTTTGGAATATTTTAATATTAATTGCAGTTAAGTAGTCCATAAATTCTTTGGAGTGCTGGGAAGAGAAGTATATTAGAGGTTCAGTGTTTCTCATGGTCTATAGTTGTACTTAACAGTATATATTTGTGGGCCAGCACCTGGCTCACCTGGATTAATTACAGCCAGTATTCAGCTCAGGAATACAACGATGAGGCAGCGTTCTTTGTTCTTTATTCTTTTGTTTGAGTAATAATGAAACAAAATGCTGTGAACAGATGTGCTCTTTCATTCAAAAACAAATATCTTGTTCTTTGGATATGTATGAAATGAAAGGACTGGATCCAAATGACTTAACCAAGGAGTGCTTGTGTTTTAGTAGTGTGCTTACAGTAATTTAATGTTTACATTATTACAGTAATGTAAGTAAAACCATACCTAAACTCACACCCTAACCAAACTTATAACCCAAACAAGCTCAACTGAAAGTGGAAAACATTGACAACTCCTCCTTTGTATATACAAATTCACTATGAAAAAAAGGGGCATCCTGTTTTGCAGTAGGCTCTAGACTAGGAAAATATATTTCTCTTATCTCTGTATCTATTATGTGTGTTTGGATTAGATGCGCAACCAATTATTTTTTGTCATTATTCATTAATCTGATGATTATCTCCATTTATAGATTCACATTCATCTAAATTTCAGAAAATAGTGAAAATGCCCATATTTTATAAAACCCAGGATGAAATTTACAGTTCCTTGTTTTGTCAGATCAATAGTTTAAAACCCAAAGATGTTCAGTTAATTGTTATGTAAATCAGAGAAAAGCAGCAGATTCTCACATTTGAGAAAAAATACTGAAACTATTAAGATTAAATAGTTGCTGATTAATATTCTGTTGATTAATTGAGAACGTAGTTTGGATTTCACAGCAAACCCCAAATGTCACATGTTGAAACTGAAACATATTAATTAGATGAGGTCAGATTCATGCAGCCTCAGCTTAAAACTAATGTCTGTTTTTAGAAATCTTGCCCAGTTGCCTGCAGTTTCAGGGACAAAGCTGATTAGGCATTAATTTACTAGGTATAAAAAGCTCTTTTTTTAAAAGTATTTTTGGATAGTTTGTACCGTTGTTGTTGCTGTTGTTACTGTTGTTGTTGTTGTTGTTGTTGTTGTTGTTGTCGTTATCCAGCTTTATCTTCCCTGTGCTTGACTGACTGGTGTTTGCTCCAGGCTAACAAACTTAAGTGAAGCCTAATCAGAGCCTCTTTGTGCTCAAGGGCAATAATGTGGGTGAGAGCATCAGAGTGCCAAGTGTGTTTTCCATCTGTCCTCTGTCTACTGAAGCAGGCTAGCTCTTCATTAGCATGTCTGCAGGTAGGACACTCAGTCAGATATGCATATATGCCTAGTGACACATTGGGCTATCTATAATTAATCCATAGTTTACTTAAGCATCATTAATTTACTCAGTGCCCCGGGCATTGACGCCACCCTGACAGTGTGCTGCGCTACTTAAACTTTAAAGAGTGTTGGTCCAAAAAGGCCCTAAAAAAACTGTTAATAGGGACTGTCAAGATAATAGACCAGGCTTGATTTAGAACCAAGATTTACTAACAATCCTCATGCACAGGTGCATATTAGGGCACAGATTCTTATTTGAGGAGATTTTTGGACTCAAAAAACAAAAAACAGACACAATTGTTTCATTCAATCCTCAAAATGTAGAGTCAGCAAAATCAAACTCCACTTTCTCCACATCCTGGACAGCAATTTGTTAACCATGAATGTTTTAAGTGGGATACACTATAATAGCTGAGTTGATTGGTAATGTTTGAATTGATTTTCATTTGTCAGGATGTTGCAATTTCAGTGTTAGGTGAGCTGTCATCTACAGGCCTGTGACACTATCAATTACAAGGATTGAGCTGCATTTTAAATGGTTGATAGACATTTTTTGTCTCATCTTCATGTAAATGGCTGAGAGAATTACATTTTCCTTCTTGCTGCCTGCTGCACAGCAAGTCACGCTATATAATTACGTTCCCTCCATGTTTGGCTATTCAGAGTGGATAAAATTCATCAGACGTTTGCTTAAATCGCTCAGGACATCTGGCTGTATTGTCATATCAGAGATAAGCAGCCATACAGATGATGCTACTGGCCCACTCTATTGTCCAGTGCACAACATACGGGGGGGGGG